AGGGAAATGGATAACATTAAAGGAAAAGCTTCCAGAATCAAGAATGATTAAATTGCTGGCACAATACGTAGATTTAAGTTGATGTCCTGTATGTTCCATTAGGACACGCATATGATTTACTGTCTTGTCGCCAGTAAAAGCTTCTCAAAACGAAAGTGAAAGTAGAAATAATCAGCGAAATCACTAAAAAAGGTAAAATTTCTAGGGCATTACAATATATTAGTATAGATCTATATAAATATTAAGAACGCAATTTTATTTTAGGTCTGAAACTGTAATCAAGAGGAAAAAAAATGAGGAAAATTATTGGATTTACAAAGACAGCACAGAAGAAAATATTTTTCATACATTGTATCACTTAAAAGTTTAAATTTATTGACATGCGCTTAACATGTATTAATATGCTTTATCACACACCAGTGCCGATTTTGCCACTCAGTAAATATGGTATTGCACATCCGTGCATATAATTTGACATGACGTCATTAGCGTTATAAAAACATTGTGTAAAGACGCGCTAAATGTTAGCGTTATACTATAGACGTGTAAATGAAAAACTACTCTTATTTCACTTTAAACGGTCTTTATTTTGTGTATGTGATACAGTAGGGTGAACGTTTCAGTTTACACTCAAAATGCACATTCTGGAAAAAACGCATGCATGTTACATGCTATACGAACACACGTTACACGCACCCTTAATGAAACGAAATACGCAGACGCATGCAAAACGAAATACTCTACACGATATACGCACGCTAAAACGCATGCAAAATAGAAAATGTTTCTAAACGTTAATAAAATATCTTTATCATATACATTTTTAACAACTTTAGCTAGATCGTTTAGTGATTTGATTAAATGATAGCTAGTCATTCATGTATTTTAAACGGGTTTATGTTAACTAACTTATCTTATGTCCCAGGTTAGAGCTGTAATGATATCAATCCGCGAATGCACTCAACCTGGCACAATATTATTTTTTGTCGGGCAGCCTAAACAAATGATTATTGAAATTATAAGCCATCAAGCGCTAATACATGCATTAAAAATTATTTAACAGGGTCGTCTTATGCACATTTCTGAAAAAATACTTTGCTTTATACCAGGAATCTCTTAGATAGATAATAATTACTTCGACACCGCTTCTGGCTTAAACAAAATAAAACGAATGGTAGTAACTTTAGCAAATCAGCGATCAAATTATCAAATCATTTACATACAGGCGAACGAAATTAATACATGACCTTTTTACACAAAGGAAAACATACATTGCAGACGGGCAGCCCAACATATTTTCCAGACAAGGGCTAAATCTATATGTTTCAGGACTTTACACCTCCTGGACGTTTCGGCCCTGAAAGTTTCAACCTCAATTTTTAACCACCTTTTTTTCAATTTGATAAATATATATAATAAATACCATGCATTATGGGTTATAATATATTCTAACATGACCCGCATTTACCCTATTGACGTAGAAGAACGGAAAGTGTGTGTTATTATGCAACAGATGCACAGTTTGACATTCTATATTTAGACATGTGACGTAATCATTATACAAGTAACGTAACCACAAAAAATCTGACACGCCGAAAATAAGTACGGAAACAAATCTGAGCCGCAAATTTGCTTAACTATCAAGTACGGCAACATTTATTTGTTCACTGCAGGCTGGTCTGGATCCATGCTGGTCGCCGGACCACTATGTTGGTTTTGTCATGACGCGGCTCATTTAACTTTTGACATGTAAACACTGAACTGGATCAGGAAACAAGGATTGACAATTTTATTAAGATTGCTAAAATAATAATTGTAAGTGTTTTTTTATTGTACATAATAGGAATATTGCTATATCATTGTATTCTCTTTGTTTGATTGGACTGGTTGAAATTCATAGAAATCCCAAATCAAGGTATCATTATTTAACAAAAGATTATTATTAAATATCACAATAACAATACATCAATATGACTGTCAGACAGATCTTGAAACAAAATAAAGGGCTTTAAAAGCCCAGGCCACATACAAAAATAGTATTCTATGCTTTGATAATGAGCTGACAGATAGGGGAATTTTGTAAAGGGACTTGCTCAGCCTGTCTGTTGTGATTACATGTCTAAAAAGTACATCATGGTATATTTTAGCCACCATAGAATTTATCTAGAAAAAAATATAGCTATTTTTATTTGTACAAAAATATAGAAATAGTACAATGTATGATTAGTAAAATGTTCACTATACATGTACAAAGAATGAAACTATTAACAAATGTCGCTACAGCCGCGGTACGGTATTTAGAGGGTCACGGGTTCGAGTCCATGTCAGGATGCACTTTTTTCTCACCCTGTGGCTGATATAACATTTGTATAGCCCAGGTAGAAATTAAATCACAATGCTAAATAACCCTGGGAAAATCGAAGAAATATTTGCATACACAGTAGGTTTATAACGATTCAGTATTTTAACAAGTAAAACGTGTAAGCGGCCGAATAGCTCGGAGGAACTCAAGAGCCGCGGAATGGTATTCCCAGTGTCAGGGGTTCTACAATGTAAAATTATATAATAATAAGATATTTCTCATTATTCATTTACCTTAACAACATGCAAAGCAAAGTTAATACGTTATATATATTTTTGTAAAGTGGGCCGAGTTGACCCGTGCCGAGTTGACCCGTGCCGAGTTGGTATAGGGCCGAGTTGACTCTTTTCCCCTGCCAGGCTGTAAAATATCAATATAAATCTGTCAAGAAAAATAGGGAGGAACTGTCTAAAATAATTATCACCCTAAATAGGATTCGGATTGGGTTCGGACAGTCTTTGATGAAAAGTCAGAAGATGAACTTGTAAAGGGGGTGGGGTGCTAGTCTGATTACCATCATTTGATGTCTGACGAACCTCATATCTAATATATATTGGTTCGCATATAAACACCTGTTTGCTGAATTTAATATCAAAAATGTTGCAATTAATAAGTTACTAAATGTTATATGCGTATGTAAACTAGGATTAAAACTAATTAATCTTCGGCGAAAAGCATGTAGAAATCTGACCAGTATTCACCGCGAGGTCACAAACTTTAAAACTTTAATGTAAACATCACAATAATACTTCTTTATATAATATTTCTATTCTTTGACAGGGACGCAGAACATCTCTTACATGTTTAAGAAACAAGAAATTTACATAATATATCTATCTAAGATATTCTTTTACTTCTTTATAGAGCTCTAAAAATAGTATTTAATGATTTTAATTCTTCATATGACACATTAATAAAAAAAGTTAATATGCCTACTTTACATTTGTCAAGAATTAAAATAATAGCCAAAGAAGTGTTTAAATGCCTTTACGGAAAATCACCACCATATATAAATGATTTAATTCAATTTAAAAATTCCAATTATTCTTTTAGGTATCAAAAAAGTGTAAATGTCCCAAGGGTCAAAACAGTAACATACGGTAAGAATTCTTTTAAGTTTGAAGGTGCCCAGATATGGAACAGTCTCCCTAATGACATCCGCAAGGTTGAAAATTACAAAGAGTTTGGGAGACTGATCCAGGTCTGGAGTGGCCCAAGCTGTAAATGTGCTATGTGCTTGTAAATTTGCTATGTGTTTGTTTATTCTGCTTAGTTTTAATTTATGTAAATGCTTAGACTACATGTTTTGTTTGTTTGCCTTGCTTTTGTGCATCCCTTTTAGTTTGCTATGATGCTTTGTTTATATGTTGTGTGTTAATTTTTCTTAAACCCTTGTATTTTATGCTAGTTGAATCTTTGTTGTGTTTGTATGCTTTGTTCATATTAAAACTCCTTATTCCCCATTCCATTAGGCTGTGCATGCAACCACCTTAATTTTAGTTTACTTTGTTTGTTACACTGTATGTGCTATATCTTGTTTCTTTTTTATGCTGTATAAGTTCTATCATAAATTTTTATGCACTTTTATAAGTAAGTTTAATTTTATCTATTTATTTATTTATATATATTTTTTAGGAAACCTTCAATTACGTATTTATAAATTGTAGATGTTAACTTATAACTATTACTATTTTAATAATTTTTTATTTATTATTATTATTTTTATCTATTTCACATTGCTATATGTATCATACTTAAATTTCTAGACTACAGGCATTTATTACTTTTAGAAACTGTTATTACCTTTAATACAATATGTACTGTGCATGTCATCAAGCTATCATGCCTTAATTTACCATCTTATTGTAAAGTTCTTCTTAACCTTGATACTCTTATTTCATGCTTAAGCTGCTAATAGTTTTATATGTTTTTATTTTCAGAACTGTTGTATGTAAGTAAATATGTTTTATGCTTTTGTTATTGTCGGTAAATAGCTTATTAGCCGACTTAAAATAAAGTTTCTTGTATCTTGTATAGTAACAGACGCAAAACATGGTACTTTATTAAGCGCTTAGACGAACGCAGACGCACGCTAAATAAGAAACGCACGCTTTCAGACGCACGATAAACGAAAAACGATACACGGAAAACGAAAAACGTTAAACGCTTGAAAACGATGCACGCTTGAGAAAGCGTTTCAGCAAACGCACGTTGCACGCTATACGCACGCACGTTACACGAAAAACGGACGCACGAAAAACGCTATTTTTGACAACCGAAACGTTCACCCTACATGTACTAATATAAAGTTTGTAATTGTTTGTACTTGTATATCTATAATGCATTGAGTGTATTTAAAGATTTCTTCTTTGCATGACAAATGTGTTGAAAATATGATAAACAAGATCAACAAGGAAAGGCGGTGTTCAATGAACGCAACCCCCATATGACCCAGCAACAAGAACCAATGGCAAGGAGCCCAGGGGGAGATCATCATCATTTTACAAAAAAAAGTGGCTTTTATAGATGTCGTTATATGTATATCAAAGGTCAATATTATGTAATTAGTGGATATATCTGAAGTTGATAAATATTTGAATATCAACAATAATTATGATAAGAATCACAGCTAACATACCTAATTTAAATGATCCTGTTAGTGGAGTAGCTTGTGTGATGGTTGTAACAACAATGCTGTAAGTATACGACCCGTCATCTAAAGAGTTTCTAGAAGTCCACACACATCTGTAGTAGCCTGTATACTGTGTACTACTTGAACATGCTGAAGATCCTGATATCTGGATGGAATTATCCTGTTTATATAGGTATCATTATTCAATAGATTTGGCATATGGTCTTTATAATTATAAGAAATCTCAGGGTTTAAATGGTTTTAAAACTTTTTGTATTCACTGGTTATTAAGGCAACATGGGAGTACAATAATGATCTTATGCCATTTAAAACAGCATTTCTTTCTTGATGGAGATTATTTATTTTTATCGAAATATCTCGAAATAAAACTGACCTCTACTCAGCTATCGGAATGATTTTGAAAGGTTTATTCTTGTCTATTGTTTATTCTTATACCTGCATATTAATTTCATACTTTACTTCATGGACATACACAAACGCACGCACGCACACACACACGCGCACCAACGCACGCACGCACGCACACACCCAAGCACGCACCAACGCACACACACACACACACACACACACACACACGCACGCACGCACACACACACACATACACACAACGAATATATATTTGTACATGTACAGACAGCTCTTCAGTCACATCGTTATGATCGAAGTCCTCGTTATTTGAAGCATTTTCTCAAATATTTAGCGCTAAGCTATGTTGATGGTTTTTAAATGATCTCTTTTGTAATTTAATAGATTTCTTATTTAAAAGCTGAAAGCAAATTTGTCAAATGTAGCGGCTTACTGCAGCATGCAAAAGAAACTTAAGTGAATAAGCCCAACTATAATGTAAATAGGTCCACGTAGCTGTACATCAGTATTTACTAAGTTAAACATAAAACTGCCTTAGTGAGAACTAAGTCACATAATGGAACATTAATATGTAGATGTTCTGAAGATTTTTAATGAAAAATAGAATCTACTACACTACACCGATTTTCATTTACATGTAAGCATAGTTTAGGAAAAACTTCTAAAACATGGGTGCATATAATAAAATCAAGCCACAATGAATATTCTATTTTTTTAATGCGTTTATTTAAGGTCGCCGCCGGAAAGCCCATATGGGCGACCGTACACTCAAGTCGGGCCATCCTAGAGCGTCCCGCCGAGATTTTTTCGTCGATTTTTCCAGCTTTATTGGTGGAGGAAGACCCCAGGTGCCCCTCCGGTCATTATTTCAGGCACGAGCGGGCACCTGGGTAGAACCACCGACCTTCCGTAAGCCAGCTGGATGGCTTCCTCACATTTCTACCCGAGTGAGGATCGAACCTACAGCGGTGAGGGACCTGTGATCTCAAGTCAGCGACCTTAACCACTCGGCCACGGAGGCCCAGTATTCTATTTATCGATTTATGTTTCCTTATCAGTTCAGCTCTGATGCTACCAAATGTTTCAAAATATTCTTGCATGTTTTTTTTTACAATAGCATACGAGTACACATGTACATTGTTAAACCTTTAATTTCGTCACTTATATTCAATAAAAGTTCTCTGTTTATCAATTAGTGAATTTTGTGTATCACTACCTTTTTCATAAAATACATGTAGAATAATACCTGTCTTTTAAATGTAATAGTGAGTGTTGGTGAGGCAGGATATAGTTTATCTACAGTTATCTGTACTTTCTTTCCACTTGTTACACTGTGTGTAGCTGATGATGCTTTACCTACAAAATAAAAACATTTTTACTTGATTATAAACACTTTACTTCAATGTGCAAGGGGTGTGCATAATTATAATTTATAAATAATAATAAAATACCGTTAAGATAATATCATACATATATAATAAAAACTTTAAAACTTGCCTATAAAGACGGGATTAATTTTTCATCGGGTGGTACATATAAATCGATTTTCACGAGTGACGGTAGCCACGAGTGAAACATAATTTTCAAACCACGAGATGAAAATAAATCTGTTATTGATAAAAAAATCTCGTTTTTTTTATTATTACATACCTTTCCTCTTTTTCTTTGACTTTACGTTTCGAAAGACTTCCCCTTTAATTTTGTTTAATGACTGAATTTAGAATAAATTAGTCCGGTACGACAAAAGTGAAAATACGGAAAATTAAAATATTCATTTTATTTCAATATTTATCAATATTTCATTTTATAAGTATATGATAAATTATCCTTGTTTTGACATTTCAAAGCTTTATTTTTCTGTTTCAATAATTTCGAAATATATTGATCTTGTACGAATGGAACAATACGATCTTTCTATACTTCATGGTATATGTGTAGATACTCATCCCGTTGCTTTTCGTAATAATAACATATGGCAAAGACGTTGAACAATGTAAGAGCTATCATTTGCAATGTTTCAAGCAATATACATGTACAAGCAGTTTAGTTGTTTCATTTTTGTATTATGATATATCAAATGAGGGCGATATCAAATTAAAGTCATTTATCACATAAACCTTGGAGCAATTTAATAAAAACGATACAACACTAGTATAATAACACTTTGACATGACGTTATTTACGTTTAAGATATAAAAATAGCGTTTAAGTGCGCTAATATTAACGTTACACTATAGGCGCGTCAATGCAAAATGACTCTTTTTAACAGTTTACCGTTCTTATATTATATATGTGGTAAATAGAATATTTTATTCGTGTAGAGGCTCTCACGATATGATTTCATTCAACTCGTTCAGTAAATTTAATATCAAACATACACTTATTCAATATCTTCTATTTACATGTATTTAACATAATATCCTAAAATGGAATATCAATCTGTCTAAATATTTGAATGTTATTTCTTTTCACAAATAACATTGATATATGCTTTGTATTGTATTATTTGTTGCTTTGTTTAAAAACTTACATTCTATTTTAAGACGTTTAAACTGACTCTGATCAAATCCATTTTTACATCTATAATCTCCTCCATCAGTAATGTCAGTGTTGTGTATTGTCAATGTAAACGATGATGTTCCAATTGTTTCTGTATATTTGTTGTTGTCCTCTGGTCTTACTGTTACTAAGGATCTGTTCAATCCATACCAGCCAATAGAGGCGGCAATTTTACCAGTAAACTGACAGGTTAGAACTGTATCATCACCACAGTTACCAGCACTTGGTACTTGAATAGTAAGTGTACCTACAAAGTTAAATATTAAAGATCAAATGTCATTATAGTGTAATGTCAAGTTAAGTTACGACATTTCTCAACATTTTGTATATTAGTTGCTTTGTTCTAGTATTTAAATAATAGTGAGCACTCGTATGATTTCCCAAACTTTGCTTCCAAATAAATTATGTCAGCCTTCTTCATTTAATAAAAGTGTGTTAGGAAAGATATCTTGATGATAATTATACAGAAAATTACCGACTAGTGATAAAAATGTAACGTATCTATTCTTTAGAAAACACCGTGAATGTTTAATTTTAAGTAAGTATAATTTATAATTTATAAAGCCGTTAAATTCACATTTTTGTCTTATGTATTTTAATTATGATGTAAATGTTTGCGTTCAAAAACTTTGTGATACGTACTTAGTACTATTATCCGATACGACACATAATAGTCTTTCATAACTAACAATTATGTATACATTTTGTACTGTTAAACATAAATACTAAAGATTCTGTATCAGGTTATTCAATATATCAGTTGACAACAATGAAATAATTTTTCAAAATGAAATATAATAGTTCTCTTAACAAATATACAAGTTGCGGACGAAAAGCACTGAATGAAACTTTTAAAAACATAAAATGAAAGCCCTTCGTTTAATAAAACAAGAGTTATATAGAAATATATATGTTTTAAGGACTACCTTGTGAGAACGAAATACATATTCCAATGATAAGTATAGAGAAAAACATGATTATTAAAATACATTTAAGTCATGTCAATAAACGTTTAAAACTTCCTAGTTGTATTTTTGCGTGTATATATATATCATGTATACACATCGAAATGTATTAAGATGAAAAATGTTTATACATCAATCATACCCTGGTTTATTTAACTTAAGATATAGTTTAAAATACACTAACAGGAATTTAAACCAGCAAAGTACATAGATATATCTCTGAAATTTAAACAAAGATATCCTCGTTACATACACAGTGAAATAAAAACAAAACGCACCATTGTCTTACAAAACATATCATGGTCTTTCAATTACAAATTTAACCACTTCAATTATAGCTATCCACTTAAACATTTGAGCTGTTATCATTCGTACGCAAACAATTTTGAAGTTTTATCATGCGTATATGAATTGAATGAAAATAGATAGACAATTGTGTTCATGATATACTTCTTTTGAGACGATCCGTAAGTAAGTTGCATAAACTGACTAATTCTAAAATGTTACACCGCCAAGTCCTCAAGCAATACACGACAACGAGCCTTCTAACTTTAGCTGCAATAACTCAAAGGAACCTACAATTTTACATTGAATGAAAGACCAGTAATGGTTCTAGTCTGAAAATAAATCTTTGATTGAGAATGAAACCTTTATTATATCCAATATAAACCCAACTGAAAAATCTGCTTACATAATAAGGCTCTGATGTTTTTCATATTCTGTATTTATAAGTTTACAAATAATTTGTCATGGGATGCTGTTATTATTTTAAAGGAACACTTTACGAATGTACTGAAAGTAATACATGTGCTTTTTACTCTTAGTCATGCAATGATTTATCTTTAAATAAGTCAACAGCAGACAAATTATTGTGTCCGTTTTCCGTACTAATAACAAAATAAAAATTTTATTCCTGCCAGGCGCATATACAGAACAACATGACAGAAAATAAAGAATTAAACATTGTATTGGTAATTAACATGGGAACAGTGATGAAACATCTAAATGTACTCATGTAACAACAACTAACCCTTCAACTAGATTTGATATGTAAGGTGGCGGATCGGGCTATCGTCAGACCCAATATATCAAGGGTTGAAAGCTATACATCATATGCTTGTCGAATACACTCTGATTCGGATTCAAGAGTATCAGATATGCGTTTGTGCACGTCGGTAATTCAAGATTCCTTGAGAATATCGTGCAAATCTGGAAAGAATTTGCGAGTGATACGACCATTAACTAGCAGTGCAGCTGGGTACCATATTTTCACATTGTCTTTACAAATTCATCTCGTTTAAGCTAGAATTCGGGCTCTTCTCTCCCTTAGGTAATCCCTAGAAATGCCAGTACCAGAATGTTTAGACGATGTGCATAGCCAATCAGTGCACTAATCTCACCAGTGTTGCTGCATGTGGCCAATGAACATCTTGGTTTAGGTTAATTCCTTTTAAGATGTGACGCTCGTGATGTGAACACGAGGCCAAGTCTAAATGCAGGCATGAGGAAAAATTGAGACGTGTCAAGTTGCAAATTGGCATAAATAAAGTTTTTCACTAAATTCACCGGGTCCACGTTGTTTGATTCGGGAATACCAGGTAAAACAATATTGTTTTCTCTACTAGGGACCTCTATGTCTATAATTTTATATTCTAGTTAACGAATTCGTTGTTGCGTAACATCTAGCGTGGCGCTTTGAACATATACATGTAGATGTGATTCAATATTATCAATTCTGTACTTTGAAAGTCCAAGATTAGACATCCCTTCTAATATATAATTCATTTGTCGTCTTTTGGGGGCTTTTTAATTTCATTAAGGTCAAGATGATCGCTGGTAAGATGAGAGTATGGTGGATGTTGTAGGGTACACGACCAGTCCAACATTTCCCCACCCGTTGAGTGTGGCGCTCTCTTGGATCGATTTATATAGGTCCAGGAGTCAGAAAGGGGTTCGAACATGTTCATGTATGGCCTTTCTGGACCAGGAGAAGCATTAGATATAGAGCTCTAAGAATTTGTGTCCATTTGTATGCGAAATAATGCAAAAATTGTACCTGTTTGCAGGACGTCAGAAATACAAATCCACCATGTTTATTTACCCATAAATCTGTTGAAAATGAATCAATAAAAAAAAGCATTAACGGCCTACTGTAATTGGCATCAAAAGTCAAGCAAATATTTTTTGCGTGTTATTAAGTGCAATTGAAAATACTCCAAAATACATGTATGAGTTGTACTGTACTGTGTACTGTGTTGATGTGACGTAAAACCCAAAACAAACAAACAAAAAAACATGTATGAGTCCAAAATCGGCGATCTAATTCTTCAAAAGAGACTTTATTATAGACATATATGACTTAAAACAACGCATTTGTCATTGACAGAACAGTGCAATTTGTGTTGTGTATTGAAGACTTCTGAAGAAGCAATCGAATCCTTTTAGTACATTCGTTAAACATTTTTTATTTTACAATACCCTTTTGCATCACAAATATACAAACAATTTAGTTTTTCTATCTATCTGATAATGAACTAATCACTATATGTTTCTAAACGAAACTGAGATTCTAAGCATAACGTGATATACATGTACAATGTACATGCAATATTTGTTTTAAACGTATACAATGTTATATATCGTATATGATCCATACATTTACTTTAAGTGGTCACAGTTGTAAAGTTTTGATATTGTCTTTCGAATACTACCATTATTTTACCAGTACAGAGAATTAAACGTCAACACTAATTAGCCTAAAGCATAATTTATAACATCAAACAAAGTTCTATTTATTCAAAATAAAGAAAATAACTCCAAAATACAATTAAAATGTATTTGAAATGAAAGATCACTAAAAAAAACCAGTTCATCATCGCTTAATTATTAGTTGAATTTTCTGATATCTTCATGATTTTATTATTTTACCTGACCTCAATAATTACTTAATAACGAGAGTGTGCCTCATGAGGTTTTGTTGACTTACGCGAATGCTATGCTATTCGGGAAAATATTTAAGGGTCAGTTATGAGGCTAATTTCATTTACGTATGTTTTCTTTGTGAAGTATAATCTTTATCATATATTGTTAAAGCTGATCTGACGGGACTTCATGTTTGTTTTCATGGAATCATTACAGATCAATTATTTTGAGATCAATGATTAAGCTTTATTGAAAGAAAAGTCTTTAATGCATTCGCAGTTTATGTAACATTTAATACGTACTAAAGTTTTTTTGTAATACTTTCCGCGCATCATACAGTTTTCTAGACTTATAAATATCTTTTTATCATTTCATAAGATATGTTGTGATTCATAAATCATGAATTCTTAGCATCATTCGATTGAAATTGTAATAACTGTGTTTGTTTCTGGTAGCGTTAAACTTATGTTTGGCATTATAAACAGTCAAACAACAGAGGCGTCACTTACGTGATCAACATCAACGTTGTCACGCGGCTCAACATTTAAATAGCGATTTCATCCTCACAACTTACATACAAATTAAACAGTCCCAATTTAATAATATACTGCTGTCATCAACGTTAATTGCTTGTTTTTAAATATATGTTATCTGGAAGCAGTATAATGCATGAGAAAAACATTTTAATCATTTGATTAGAAACATGCAATTTTATTTTTAACATGATTATATAAAGAGACAGAATCAAAAATCTATAGAAAAAAGTAATGGTAATGTTATACGTGTCGCGAAAAGACGTGTGAACTCAATCAACCCTTGCTTAAATCACATGTTTATTTCTAGTCATATAAGGACATTTTATGGATTTGATAGCAGCCTGTTACAATGCTTTTCTCTATTCACAAAGAATGCAGGAAGTTAATATGGATATCTAAATTATATATCTCTATATATACTAGCCGTCGAAATATCTTTCAAATCTTAAATATTAGCTTTTTATTTCCTTTGTTTTTCATGTTTTTCTTTTTATGTCATAATAGATCTTTTAAAGGCAATGAAAATCAGAAACATTCAATTTATGAACATTAACAGGTCAAAAGTCATTTTTCCGTTTTTCTCAAACGTGCAACGAACGTGTACTTAATAACCCTTTTATGTCGAAAGTTCACATAGTTGAAATAGCATCATATGCAGATTCTGCTTCCTTCAGATCTTTATCCAGTTCTGTATATTGACTTTCTGAGGCTTGAACATCGTGAGATGTGTTTTTCAGTTTTACATCTTTTGTTTGAAGAGTTTTCGAGCCATCCACATTGACATACCTTGAAGTAGAAGTAAATCCGTTACATTTAGAAGTAAATTTTACATATCCAAAACGTTTTTGCAGTGTTAGAGTATCCAACCATTCTATTTGTATTTTGCTAAAACTATCATACATTAATTTCACATGATGATTTATAGCTTTATTACTCTTCCCTTTTAAGAATTTCAAGTGCACGTTTTATTATCATGTAATAAAACTTATTTAAAAATATTTATATGATACCAGTATTAATAGCGTGCTTTGTTTGAAAACTTCTAACAAATGAAAATAGTTAATTAATATATATATACATAGAAACATACCTTCTGCTGCTTGTATTTCTGGAGAAATCTGTAAATAAAGAAATGTTAAATAACAATAATAATTTGTTTTTATCAGTTTGTACTATAAAAACATAATTTATTCACAAAGCGTGCTTTAGTTTTTTATGCATTAGAATTAGAAAGACATCTTGCTGAGCTTATTGAATAAACATAAAAATGGAGGCACAGGACAAACAGTATGATTTTCTTTAATATAAATAATGGAAAAAGTTTATTTAAATTATTTTAAAAATCTAGAACATTTTATACATTGTATACTTTACTTTCAGGGATTATCACATATATAAATATATATATTTTTTTTAATACAATATCTACGATAAAATAGGTTTTTTTTTATTTTTCGCCTTTCCATTTGGTATCTTTATGTACATGTAAATGCCTGTGTTTTTTGTTTAACAGAACTGCAATAAAGTAAAGTGCAGATCTCACCTAAACAAATTCCCAAGCTCCTTTCAACCATATATGTTTAATCCAAGCTTAATGAACAGTCTCGGCAAAGTTCTGGTGGATG